AAAACGGCCGTCACGGTTAAATTATTTATTATTTCGAGTCCGAAAAATTTGTAAATATTCTTCAGACGTTCTAAAGTAAAGGTGAACAGCGTTTTTCTTAAAAATATCACTGTTACGTAGTAAAAAACAAATCCCGAAAGTTCTCGCTTCGTGATTTGTTCAATACTTCGAACGCGGCTCGAGTCCGTCCCGGCCATCTGTCAAAGCCTCGTGCTGCGGACTCTCTCGCGGACTCTCTCTCGCACCGTCACCTCTCATTGGCCAGTGTTTTTCGTTAATAACTCGTAAACAAAGCCGCGGATTGCATTTTCGCAAAGGAAAAAGTTACTTCAAATGACCTCAGCTACCCCTCATTTTCGGCTGTTAAAGTAATTGTGGAACACCCTGTATATAGAAACTGTATACATATATAGGGTCTTCGTTGATCGCGGAGTGCGCGATTGAAATAATTTTTGCGTGGAGTATTGATGTATCAAATGATACATATGTGAAGTGAAAATTGACGCATTGCTCGAAATTGTTAAATCAATTGGCGGAGTGATGGAAGCGATACAGGCTCTCGACGTCTTTATGGACACCACGCCCGATCCTTGGAACAGCACTTTGTGGATGGACAACTACACTTATTACAATACCACCAATGTCACGGACCTGGAGCTGAGGAATCAATTTAAGCTGCCATGGTGGAGGCAAATGATCTGGACGTTGCTATTCGCCGGTATGATCACCGTTGCCACCGGCGGCAATCTAATCGTGATTTGGATTGTTCTGGCGCATAAGAGGATGCGCACCGTGACCAATTACTTTTTGGTGAACCTCAGCATCGCGGACGCTATGGTGTCCACCCTGAACGTCACGTTCAATTATATCTACATGTTGAACAGCCACTGGCCTTTCGGCACGCTCTACTGCAAGATCTGTCAGTTCATTGCGGTGCTCACTATATGTGCCAGCGTCTTCACATTAATGGCGATTTCTATCGACAGGTAAGCTCGCGTTCGATATCTCTGGTGGCCACGTTTGCTTCTGAGCGAATCGGGCATTGCGATGTTGAGATTCTCAGGGGAATCGGACGTTCGATATTAGGACATCATTTGTTTTGGCACGTGGGAAAGTTAAATTTTCCGGTAGCGGGTGTATTAAGAAGAGTTCTTTCTTTATTAGTTATTATTTAACCAATCTAAGCGAGAGTTCGTTTTAGCATCTGTAACATTAAACCTATCGTGCCGGTCGAAATGACCGGTTTCATATTTTGTACTGTGACATTATTGAAATTACGAAGAGTCTTTCGTAGAAAATTATTGAATGCATATCTTCATTCGAGCACAAATTATGATAAATATGGAGAAAGTAAAATATAAAAGTTCGGTCTTGTCGTTGCAGCGAAGCAACACAGGTTAATCATTTTTAGAGTTTTAATATGCTAGCGTTAAAATTCAACACCCCAGAAAGACTAATGAATACTAATTATAAAGAAATTTCTTAATTCGAACACAAATTGTAAAGAAAAATAGCAAGACGTCTAAATAAAATTGGCCTTGTAATCCTTATAAAGCAACACAAGTCAGACATCTTTAGTAGTGTTCGGTAAGTTTAGTGTTAAACACAAGTACAGTGACTTGCATTAATATTCGGACACGATATTGTTAGAAGAATTATTGCTCCTTTTTATTGTTTATGATAGTATTATTGAATCAATAATTTTCTCATAGAATAAAGCACTTCTTAAAGTAAGTAGAAACATAAATTTTGTTTATTTATTGCACATGTTCTTTTGTATAATAACCGATAAATAAGATTGTGACAAAATTTAACGTCGCAAAAATATTCGGACAGTGAATGAATTACATTAATTTTATATAAAATGAAAATCTTTTTAATCATGTTATCATAATATTAATATTTTGTCGGTTGACCCTTTTTTGCTTTATTACTTCATGTAATCGCTTGGGCATATTACAGATGATTTTATTTCAATAATCCGGCGAAATCCGTTTCAATTCGTCTAACAAACGTTGTTTTATCTCTGTTGTTGTCTTTTGTGGGTGTTGTACGAATTTTGCGGTCCAATTGATCCCATAAATTTTCATTTGGATTTAAATCTGGCGATTGAGGAAGAGAATGTACTTTTGGACAATTGTACAATAAATATTTCTGTACAATTCTGGCCTTGTGTTCAGGATCATTGTCCTGATAAAACTTAAAACTGTACATATATCCATATTTATAGCACTCGTAATTAAATTTTTCTAAAAAAATGTTCAAATACTTCATTTTGTCCACAATATAATATTTATTAAACAAATGTCCAAAAGCACTGCATCCTCCTCCTCAATCGCCTGATTTAAATCCAATTGAAAATTTATGGGATCAATTGGACCGCAAAATTCGTACACCTACAAAGACAACAACAGAGATAAAATAACGTTTGTTAAACGAATGGAAACGGATTTCACCGGATTATTTGAATAAAATCATCCGTAACATGCCCAAGCGATTACATGAAGTAATAAAACAAAAGGGTCAACCGACAAAATATTAATATTACGATAACATGATTAAAAAGATTTTCATTTCATATAAAATTAATGTAATTCATTCACTGTCCGAATATTTTTGCGACGTTAAATTTTGTCACAATCTTGTTTATCGGTTATTATACAAAAGAACATGTGCAATAAATAAACAAAATTTATGTTTCTACTTACTTTAAGAAGTGCTTTATTATATGAGAAAACTATTGATTCAATAATGCTATCATAAACAATAAAAGGGTGCAATAATTCTTGTAACAATATCGTGTCCGAATATTAATGCGAGTCACTGTACGAAAATGTGTATACAATGGCTATGCGTTAAAAAGTTCAACTTATACACAGGATTCGTAACGACAGTAATATTCCTTCTTCTTGTTGCAAATTATTAAAAAACGAGAACTATGATTATTAACAAAGAAATCGTAATCAATATAAAAATGATCGGAGTATCGTCGATGAACAAAAAGTCGGTGAATTTGTATTCTATGATTTAGGATGTTTCTCTTCAAAAATATTGCGATTAAATGAATGATTTCCGTATTCACCCTGTATTACATCCGACAATAATGTAACAGTGCTTAGAGGAATATGTACGAGGTTCAAGTTTATGGAAACTTGACTGATAACGGATTACAGCTTAGGGCTTGATAATCGTCGAAAGCAAACAGCCGAATTTAAGCCGATTAAACGCCACTTATCGCTCGGTTATTCGGCCAAATACTATCCGCCGCGGATCACAGAGATAAAAAGGTTGGAAAACAGAGGGTAAAAGCGGCGGTGAAATGCAAACCACAATGCAAAAAGCTATACGACCGCAAACCGGCTGTGTACACGGTTACCCGACCTCGGCGGCACACACGCGAAAATGCTACCTTGGCAATTCACCGGTGAAGAATAAATAACGCTTTACCCTGGATACAAAACAAGAGAATGAAGATCGCGATTTCAAGCACGGAATCCCAGTTTTCTCCGCTAGACTACGATGACGTTTACATATGTACGTGCCGGACAATTTCCTGTATGCAACACAATTCACATTGACCGATAAAGGAACACAATCTCTTGCCGGTGATCTCCTTTTTCTCGGCAAATACCGTCCGACGAAAGTATGTCACACAGAATCAACTTTACTAATTACAAATTTTACTCGTTCACTGAATCAACGGGAAAATTAACGAGCTGCGTTTGTGCAAACATTTGTTTAAAATGTTTTTAGAAATTTTGATCGACTTTTACCGTAGAAGACGTAGAAATGCATCGAACTACTGAATAAATTCCCACGGAACCGGTTCGAGTGTTTTACGCTGACAAAAAAGGAAAAGTCGCAATCGTTGGGTCATTGATTTCGATATAACTTTTTCTGACGAATCTGGAGCAAAAACAAGCCGACGCATCTTTTGCCATTTTCGTCAATGCAGGTTATTTAAGAATATATTATACATTTAATCTTGATCAGTGCGTACTAAGCTAACGTATGATTTAACTTGTTTGAGGAAAATATTTCTAATGCTTATAGAAAAAGTTGCCATTTAAGATTTCGTTAAGAAATATCGTAAAGTAATGCAGACTTTTGACAATATCGAACGACGTTTATGGTGCCAGAAATGAGCCGTTTATTTTGAAAGTGGCATAAGTCACTTTACCGTAATGAAAAGTAGTGATTTTTTAATGTTTATACGAAATTATTTATACTCATTAAATTATCAGTATCCTGAGATAACAAATACAAGTAAATCTTCTCGAAAGTTAGCATCCGTATTTTTAAACGTGTTAAAAAACGCAAACCCTTAAAATTTAATCGATATATTTAATATATCGACTTCAAAACAAAGTGACTTATGCCACTTTCAAAATAAACGGCTCAAAAATAACTGTATTAATTTTCGATTCTGGAAAGATGTACGATAATAAAGTCAGTTACATACTCGTTGTAGCCAGTTTCGAAGATTCCAATTTCCTGAAGATGTCCGACAATCGAACTAAGAAACGCGACTATTCATGAAACATGGATGGGTATATTACCTCGATCATAGAACCGTTTTGCGAGCAACACCATCGTACCGAACAATATCTCTGAATGGTTCGAAACTGCAATATATCGAAGAATTATGCTCCAACGGGTTGTAAGGAAGAACGCGAATGCTGCTGCGTCGTACTCGCATGCCTCTGACACTTCCGATAAATGATAATGTGCGTTATCGAACTCGCAGCAGGATCTTGGCCTCCAGAATTCCCGCTGCAAAATTTCTAGTCGTGACTTGCTCTCCCATATTTTGTAGTCGTGCTGTGCATATGCGTAAACATGCTTGAGAATGCGAGATGATGCAGTGAAAACGTCACGACATAAACTGAAGTACAAATAAATAATCGAAAATAATTTAAATTAAATTTAAAGAATAATTGACTAAAGAAAAACTGCTCTTTTGAAAAAAGTATTAGGTCTACCGGAAAGTTCTGTCCGTTTAAGAAATGAAAGGAAATAATAGATTTTTCATAAATTTAGTAATATTTATTGTACAATATAATTCCCGTCGTCACTTATGACCTCTTGCCAGCGTGATGGCAATTTGTGAGCATCACATTTCAAAAATATATGTCTCAAATGAATATGTGCGTATCTATTGAAATTTGCAATGACATTATCAGACAGAACATTCCGATAGACCTAATAGATTACTGATAACTAGACTGCGGATCTTCGTGCGAAATAAAAATGTTGCGCATCGCATGTAGTAAACAGGAAATGCATAGACATTTATTCCTGTCTTGAATAATTTCAATAAGTTATAAATAATATAACGAAATTGTTGAATTCTTCTAATAGTGTCAGGGTTGCAACTACTCACTTTTCTTATAAATACGTAAAATTCGCAGTCTACTGATAACTGTGACTTTATGGGAAACTTCTTGGAAAATTTGAGATATTTAAAATAAAAATTGAGAATTAACTATTAAGGTTAAAAATGACAGTTTTAGAAACGATGATAAAATTATTTTACTTGTACTTCCCGATGCTGTATCTTTTTTTATGTTTCAACTGTAAGTTGATCTAATAAGAAGTTGACTTCAGAAACATATAAGAAATGTTTCAAGAAACGTCTTTCTCTCTTGCAAAGATTGACTGCTCAAGTTAAGCGGGTTTAGACGAATATGTAAT